TGCAGGACCAAACAAGGATTGTGTAGTATCTCGCGACGATTCGTCTCGTTGGACCAGCATTGGAATATCGTTTGGTCCAGATTTGGGGTCTAGCTCGTATCGCCATCTCTTCCTGGGTGGATGGATGCTTCCTCTTTGCGACACTGAGCTGACTTCGCTTGCACTGACAGAATCCGGTTCCCCGTCCTCTCCGATGCGGGAGAGCTCGTTGCCGGCCGGTAGTGCGCGAGCGCGAGACCACTGACTTGATGTGCTGGTCTCAAAGAAACCACTCGAGCGCGTGAGCGTATGGCGATGAAGAAGATATCTGTTCTGCACGGGAGCAGCATCGGGAGGCGTATCGCGCGCGCGGACTATGATTTCTACATCGCCACTACTAAAGACTGGGAAGTCATTGTGAAGGGCGTGAGAAGTCCCGCCGGTATGAGATCTATTGTAACGTTTCGATCGCGAGTCTGATTGAGATCGACGGGAGACGACAGAGGAGGGACCGCGGCGGGAGACGGAGGAGGCGGTTGGAGGCTCCAGCGTGGACACCATGAGGGCTTTTTCGATATTAAATGATTGCGAAGGTGATAATTAGGAGCCGCGCAGGGGGTATATGAGGCTCAGGAATGCGGCTGTGGCGGAGCGAAGGTAGATGAAGAGCTAACGATGAGGCTGGTATAGGTGATGAAAGATGCAAGTAAATTGTGAATCACATGTGGCGGGATGTTTTGGTTTGTTGCGGAGCGACGAGACAATATTTGGCCGAGAAACAGTTATTAACGCGACAGTGGGAGATAGTTAAAGGCCGAGACGAGGACAAAAGTTGAGAGGAAGCAGTAAAAATAAACAAGACGAGACAGGGCAATACGTGACTGTGTGTGTAATGGATGTACGGAGCATGCAGATGCAGACCTTACCTTAGGTATGTATGCACAGTAGAGACAAGGATAACCTGTGATGGTGGCACGAGGACAGCAAGAGGCCGCTACAACCAGAGGATTCAAGGTAATGGGCCATGATCCAAAACATGCATTTCACACTCCACTCAAACTGGCAAGGCTGTTTCTGCTCTTTTCTCGTTAGGGCCCTTTTATGCCTTGGAGGCGAATCATTTGAGACGGTGACAGGGGTTGGTGAGGGTCTCTTCTCTTTAGTTATTACCCGCATGGTTTAGTGAGAGTCTTTGTCGGGACACGACGAACCTGTCACTGACTGCTACGTTATTGGAGGCCTGTACTGAGGAGATACTGGTACTGACAGATTGTGGTAGATGGGATCCAGTGACGATTGTTGTTTATTTACCTATCAAAAGTTTAATTCTTGTGTCTTGTGTTGTTTCTAACTATAGGTATCTGTGGCTGGTTTATAGTGCACTAACGCAGTTGACCGTTGTACAGGGTGAACGGCGCTGTTTCTAGAAGCTTGTGATTCCATGGATGGTCGATCACTGCCTTGAGCGAAACTGATCGATTCAGATTGGTTCACGGCGTCTCTTAGCCAGACGGTATGCCCAGGTGTCGTCAACATGGGCATGCCAAGAGTAATTGAGCTTTGGTCTTGTTACTGGGATAACAGATTTCTTTGTATCAAATGTCCATCCACTGTGAACAGTTCTCAGCCACGATGGAGCAGAAAGCTTAGTTTCCAATTCCTACGTTCATCTTGATGTCGTCTAGTTTTCTGAGTTATCAAAGGATAAACTTGACTTACCCAAGTTTACTCCGGTTCCCAGGATCTTCCCTAAGTTTTCTGAGATTTCTTGGTACACACTATCAAGGCGCTTATTTCATGACTCTTGATACTTCGCTCTTGAGTTATCAAGTACATCCCATCTCGTAAAAGCTCCCGTGCCGTCGTGATACAACACCCGCTCGGCCCCACTAGCTCGGACGGAATTCAACAATCAGACCCACTCAAGCTTCAATTGAATTCCGGCATCACCACTTTTTCCCTTCCTTTAAGCAACAGCATCAACCTCTGCTTTAGCCCTGCTTCGTCAATTGTGCTCCAGGCTCAAGCCGGAAATATAATGGAATGACTACGGCCTTTCGTGTATTTCATCATGCCCCTCGGCCAATTCAGATCAGCGAGTTCAAGGATGCCGTCGACGCTATTTGTCGTCCTCGGTTTCCAACCGCTCGCTTTGCGAGACCGCAGCGTATAGGTAACTGGCCCAATGTTTTGCACTCTTATATGCGACTAACTCTCCTCTAGTACTGGCTATCAGTGGAGGCGTAGATTCCATGGCTCTCGCATTTCTCATGACCAAAGCTGTCCGCTCATTCCGTGGCATGAAAGTCGCGGATAACCCAGTCCATGGTGTTCTCGCTCTCGTTGTCGACCACAAACTACGTGACGGGAGCGGCCACGAAGCGTCAGAGGTTGCCAAAGAGTTGCGAAAGCTTGACATCAAGGCCAGTGTTTCTGCTCTCTCGTGGAGGGATGAGAAACGTCAGGGTCTCGACCCTCGTCAACTCCCCAATGTCGAGGGCCTCGCTCGAACTTACCGGTATCGCGCACTAGGCCGATACTGCAGCTATCATGGTTCCAACAGTCTTTTCTTTGCGCACCACAGTGATGATCAATACGAGACAGTCCTCATGCGATTACTTGGAGGGCATGGATACCGAGGCCTGCAAGGAATAAGGGAGGCTAATTCGATACCCGAATGCTACGATTTACATGGTGTCTACCAGAGTGGTCTTCTCGACGACCAGCTCAGGTCAACCCCTGCACTCAGCTTCCGGCCAGCTCTGAAGGAATTGAAACGTCTACGACGCAGAATTCGTGACGAATTGACCCTTGAAAATACCAATCTCTTGGAGGATCTCCCTCAAGATCTCGTTCAATCGTACCCGGGATCAGAGGAGATCCGTGAAGTCTCCAACGTTCCATTTCTGAAGCCCTTGGAAGTTGAGGATGGCGGTGTCATGATTTATCGGCCTCTTATGGAATTTGAAAAGGACAGACTGATTGCTACCTGCGAAGCGAATAAGATTCCTTGGGTAGAAGATGCGACTAACAAGGACCCTACATTAACAACACGAAACGCTGTCAGACATCTGGTCCGAAACCACACCTTACCAAAAGCCTTGCAAAAGCCTTCTATCCTCTCTCTAGCCAAGAGATCAAGAGAGAGAACCAAGCTTGAAGAAGCAGAAGCTAGCCGCTATCTTATTCGGGAGGCCGTTATTAAAAACTTCGATCCAAATGTGGGAACTTTGCTGGTAGAGTTCCCAAAGCTTCGCAGCTTCAACAAACGATTCAAAAGACGCTCTTTACATCCCGAGAACGAACTACGCAAGGACCATCGGAGAGTTGTCATGACCATCGCAGTTCGCAAACTTATTGATTTTGTCACCCCTGAATACCATCTCCCACCCCTTTCAAATCTCGAAAAAGTTGTCAATATTCTGGTCCCCGGCATGGCTCCCGATGCCAATACGACACCCAAAGCATTCACTGCCGCTGGTGTATATTTCGATCCGGTAGTCAGAGGAACATCCATCAAATGGCTACTCTCTAGAGCCCCCTATACATCAACCCAACCCCTTCCGGTTGCAAAGCTGTACTTGCCTCCGTCATACATCTCACCACCCCTAAACACAGAGGAGGAGTTCACGGATGCCCCGGAGGCTTTCAGTCACAAGGGATGGGCGAGGTGCAAGCTGTTCGATGGTCGTTTCTGGATACGCATCGGACGTAACAGATGGCCTATGTGGCAAGTTCACCCCTATCGTGCAGAGTATGCCAAAGCATTCCGCAAAGCGCTGCCTCCTCTACGAAAGGCTCGACTGGAGAAGTTGCTCAAGCACTACGCTCCAGGAAAGATTCGATACACACTCCCCGCTATCTACGGTGTCGAACGTAAGCGGGATCCATATTCTCAGCATATCAGTACGACACTGACACTTCTTGCGCTGCCGACTCTGGGAATCCGTGTGCCTGGCCTCGAGCGGTGGGTCAAGTACGATGTTAGATATAAAAAGGTTGACGTCTCGCTCCTAGGACATTCACGTCATCCTCGGAGGGATATCAGGGACCGCTTCGTCAGGCATCGGCCGTTGTTTGAAACGGGTCGCAAACGTACATTGCGGCTGAAGGGGGGGAATGGGCGGCACAGATGATACGACGATAGTCGCAGCTAATACCCTCGATTCTTGCATCTCGTTACTCTAAACTTAGTCCATCCACCCTAAGTTCTAATAATCTCTCTCAAAATTATATAAATTTAGGCACTAATTATCCTAAACTTAGGAAAGATACTCTAAATTTAGCCCATTAGCCCACCTACCTATGTCCGATGGCTACCTACCTACGATATAGGTCCACACTTACCTATCTCCCATTACGTTCTGCAAGTGTTGGTGGGTAGGTGCACTGGCTACATCTGCCTGCCGGTGCCAAACTTCCTTTACCCTCGAGTACTCACCTAAACTGCCTCCCAAGTTGGCCAGGAGCATATGTTCTACCTGCCGCAACACGCGAGTCGCGCTGGAGGTGATTTCCTCGTGCGCGTGAGGGGGACTGAACTCTTTCTCTTTCTCCCACAACTTCATTTGCCTCCTTGAAATGCAACAAACCATCATCTTCAGTATGAGAAGCTCGACTCATCTCAAAGAGACCTGACGAGAGTCACGTCACAATGGCTACCCTGAGTTTTTGCTACATTTATCTTGCTCTTCTGTTCGCGGCCATGAGTGTCCCACTAGGACATTTCTCGTCAAAGCCGACTCTTCCTCATCCCCTTCCCCCCCTCACCTAATCCCCATGGCTTCAGGGAATGATGCTCAGCTCATCAGAATCCAACAACTATGCCTCTTTCAAACCATCTTGCCCACTCTCGACGCCAACATCTATGCCTTTATATTCCCATCAGCTATTCCCATTGGTGTGATGATGCCTCCCCTCTTGTATCAGAGACACTTCTTTCATCTCTTGTACCTTCTGATTCACTGACATATAAATATAGCAAGAAAAAATATACAAGACCCCCTTTTTTTTTCTTCGAGATGGACGCTGTAAGTTTCTACCATACTCATCTTGCCATTACACACACTGACTCTTCTTCATCCAGACCAACAAGAACACAGTACGTATACAACCAGATCCTCCCTCTTACCAACCACATATCCACGACATCTTTGCCATCTCCTCACAACATCTCCACGACATATCCACGACGCTGTTCATCCAAGAGTACTACGTACTGACACACTATATAGGAACCTCCGGACAACGGGGAAGCAACCAGTGGGGTCGGGGGCGAGGCCAAGGTTCAACTACGAGCTACGAGCTTTTTAACCACAACTTGAACACCAGAGGAGGCGAGGCCCCCCCCCCTCCCAAGCCTCGAAGACTTTTTTGTTCCGTGTGTCACAAAGCAAATCATACCGCAGACGCTTGCCTCTCTCTCCGTAAGTCGTTATCCATTTATGCAAAGTTATGCAATTACTAACTATCAGCAGCTGGAAATATCATGATCGTCTCTGGCGGTTCATCTGTCGCTCCTCCTGGCACCATTGTCCGTGTCGTAAGTTCACCAAGTTTATCCAGCCTAAATATTGTCTAAATCTTGATGATCTTAGGGGAGGGTCAGCAACCAGCGGGTTACTAAAAATAAAAAAATAAAAAAGAGCAAAAGAAACTCGAGAGCAAGGTTGCGAAAATGAACATCGGACGAAACTAGTCTAAATTAGTCTAAGGAATGGAATGAAGCACTGTCGGGGCCTCGGGCTTCACGAGCCGGTAATAATAAAGGAAGGTCTCGACGCAAAAAATGGAATATTCTCTCGAATGATAGCTGTTTTACGATGTGGGTGAAATGGAAAGAAATGTCGAGATTCCAAGGCTTTTAATAAGTTACAATAGTATAAGGCGGGCAGAGCAACTCTTGAGGTTATATTACCAGTTGTTGCAGATAACAAGCTTCGTGGGCAGAAGTGATTAGATGTGATATTAATGACGTGCCATGATGATAGAAAAGAGCCATGTGAAGTGCTGGCTCGATAGAGGCATCCGAAACCTCGAAAAGATATGTAGGTTCTGCACCAGCTCAGAATAGAATTGAGTCGCTTTTATTTGTTGTGTAACATGTTAACGGCACTTGCCCTCCTTCTGTTTGCCTGCGATGTTTGGTGCACCATACAAGCTCGGAATGTGGACAGGATGGTAAATGAATAACACGATGTGTCCAGCCACGTCGATGAACCATCTGCCATGCCTCTTTCTCTTTCAGATAGGATGAAAAGCCAGGCTCGGAGGTTTCGCTGTTTGTTAAGCTGTGACAGTAATGTTGTAGTTCTGGTTGACTTTGACCCCTAGCCCAGAGCTTTCTATGTCTGGACATGAATTTATCCCACTAACTGAATGGTGAGAGAGCACCTTCGTTACAACCGATCAGTGCGATTCTCAATAGCCAGCAAGGGTCTCTGAGGCGCCCTTGACCTCGAACAATTGTACCCTTCATGCACATCTTGATCTCTCCTTATGTCTACTTACATTTTTGTATATATTCCGGGTTGGCGCACTCCATCAATCGCGGCTATGAATATGAAATGGCCATCTCTAGAAACTCACAAAGGCTCCTCATATGGAGTCTCAATCTTGTTTGTCAACGGAGTTTCACGCAAGCATATTTGTCGTATACATGTTGTAGTCATTGCTATTCTCTGACGCCTCGGTCCGGGTCTTACTTGTGGGGGTAGTCATGCACGGTTTTGGAGGGAGGGCAAACTGACTCGGGAGATACTCATTTAATCCTGTGAATGTATACCTGACATCGACGAAGCTGATCGTACCTTCCGCCGTCAGTAAACAGATCGTGGCTTGTGCCACGCGATTCCAACGGTCAATCGTGGGGTAAGGTTAAAGTGTGGGGCACGCGACAAACCTTATCCTGTCTCAAGTTGATGACCACTATCTTCATTGTGTCCAGGTCATCAATTTATGAATGCGATGGGGGTTTTCGTGTGTGGAAGGAAGTTTCTTGTGACTTATGTGCGTTCAAATAGGTCAAAAAAGCTCGCAAAAGTATGAGTCTTACGGAACATCTCACTTCTCCACCATGAGCATCACACTCAACGGATCAAGAGGAATTGTCGCTTACATTTGGTGGTAACAACTAAAAATTAACATGCCCATGTGATTATTAGACCCAGACTCAGTCACTGTCCCTTCTTGTCGCGAGATGTTCTCAGCAAAGGTGGAATGGGGAGCGATCAACGCTGGTGCATGGAAATGCAAAAAGAGAATCCAAAAAAACACAAAAAACAAACCGACAACGACAAGATTCGAACTTGCGAGGCCGAAGCCAATAGATATCTGAACTTTTAGAGTTCAAGTCTATCTCCTTAACCACTCGGACACGTTGTCTGATGTTGAGAAATGAAAGAACAAAGTAAATTAATATACCCCAACCTCGCGATACACTTTTGGTGTTTTTGCCGCAACACGACGGAGGAAAGAGCCATTGAGATGGTGAACTCCGCTTCTCGACTTTCTCTTTCTTTACCTCTCTTTGTTTTCGGCAATTTTTAAATAAAATCGTCTGATATACCAACAAGCGTTTTTCGGTGAGGTATTTTTATATCGCGTCTTCTTGGCCGATACAAGAACAATGCTTCTCAAATAAAAGGCCACACCTTACTCTTGGAACCTTGGGCTTCACGTAGATACCGGGCATGCCTCATAAATCGGTCTCTTTTGATAACTCGCCAGATCGCCCAAGACTCTGGTAGGACTCGAGACGTCACCTTGCAATAGTCTATCCACGTTCAGTTTTTATGTTCAATCTTTTCATCTTTCATCATTTATCATTATATTTCTTAGCAGAAATAATCATGAGGCCTTCATGAACATGTATCATCTCTTACACTTCACGTCATACATGAACGCGTCGCCGAGACCTCCATCCCAACAGCACACAGGGAAACTTGGGAGGTCGTTTCCAAAATTGCATTCAGATCTGAAAGAAGACAAGCACCAGGATGTGAAATTTACATTGCTCTCAAGTTCAGCCATTCAAATCCTCGCACAATAACACCGTGTGTTCTACACCAACACCTCACGCGTGCACTTTCAAGAAGGCCTCAATGTCAATACCGATAATCATTTCATTTTTAGACCCAGATATGTGTTTAGGCATTACACATTTGTAAGACACGGGCTTGGGGTCTCTGTTAAGTTATGCCCAGAGAGCAAGAAATCTTCTGATGTGTATGTCAAGGTGTAAAAATAAACTAGTCTAAAGACTTACAAAGATATCCTAAATTTACCTAAGACTTTCCATCACTTAGGGGATAAGTCCTAAGTGTTGTTACCTCGCCTTGGCTGTAAATATGTGAGGCTATGCTCGGGCACCAGCATGAGCCATGAATGAGGCCAGCCAAACACTGTGGAAGTGTGAGGCGAGCGCGATAACTTGATAAAACATGGGGATACTCTTGTCATAATTCTATCACAAGTAATTATAATGATTTACTTTACTTATGACACCAATATCAATAAATTATGTTCAGGTCTGGGCATAAGTCTTACATGTGAGCTCGTGTAAGTGATGACTCTTGCTCACTCTAGTCCAATCATAGTGTGGGAAGGCATCGCCACGCTCATTCACGCATCTTCACTGCCTAGTTTCACGACTCCTTTTCACATTAGTTTTCATTTTCAATCCTAGTCGTTCAACTGATTTCCTTGTGTAGAGTTTGGTGTTAAATATCTGCCATCACCCGCCACTATCAAAACAAGCCCTGTGCTCCTTACAACATGTTCCTGATCCCCACAAGCCATCAACATCCTCGCACCTAAACAACGAGTGTTTGTTGACTTCAAGCTGCAGAACTCTTGTATTCTGATCTGCGATTTCATTTATACAAGAAAATACTCCGAAATGCTGATGTTCCGAGCTGATATCTGACCAGACAACGGGACGTCAAAAGCCTCCTCCTCACAATATCACGAATCAACCAACGAGAGCACAAGAAGAAAAGAAAATCTCATACACGACCTCAGGTTCTTTCCTGATACTTAGCCATGCTTGCAGCCACTAAATTTGGGAGATTTAGACTCACTGAAGGCCTCGTCTAGTGACGGGCTTGTCCACTCAGCGATAGTAGCCCTGCGGCCCGCGCTTTCGAGTCGACGACCCCCGATGCCTTGACCGACTGGCTTCCACCACCGCCGGCCCCTGATTATGGTGATCTGGCCTCCAGCCAGCAGGGTACAAGTTCTGAATCTGGACCTGAGAGGCTTCGTGATAGTCTCTTGCTCTCTGATACATTTCCTCATTGATCAGCCGGTTCTGGTATAAGTGGTCAAGAAGGAAGAAATCTGGGCGCATTTGCCGCCCCGAAAGACCGTTGCGAAAGTGCTTTGAAATGTGATGCATGCGCTTCCGATAGCAAGTCTCAGCATCTGCTTGGCTGTGGGAGGATGCTCTGAATGTACGGTCACAAAACCAGCAGATACACGCCGTTGGGAAGATGTTGCGAAGGTGAAAGTCCGCAATGTGTGTAATCCAGCGGGATTCATCGTTCAGGTCGAACACAACATCGCAGTCCCCGAAGCCGAGGAACTCGCATGTGAGTAAGGACGGAGTCACATATGGCTGCGATTCTGATAAGGAGGCAACTGGAGGAGGTTCTGTGTATACTGAAGAGGTCTGAGGAGTAGGCCTGTCAAAGCAGGAAGACATGAATGTCGAGCTGCTAGCGGTTGACATGCTGATACTCTGAGTAGGAGTGTCATTGTTATCTCTCTCTGAGAGCATCAAGCTTGGGGCATAATAACTCGGGATCATGGCAGGGATAGCGTTCCGTGTATGGCGTTGCCCTCTCATCGCGTTATGCTGACTTATGAAGCCATTTATATCATTGGCGAGGTCCCCCATTTTCACGAGGAAGGAAGCAAAGGCACAAGATATGGTCAACTGGCCAAGAAGAGTGGGAGCTGTTTGTGATGGAGATGCACGTGTGTCAAGTTGGTATTGGGGTGCTAACACGAGTAGCGACTGGTATAGACAAACGAGGAGAAGACAGGACAATGGACGATGGGAAGTGAGATGCAGCGCAGGGCTTCGATCTGTTGTGACAAGGGCAGTCAAAGGAAGGATGGACAGTGAAGAACAAAGAAACCGGAAACTCGAGCTTCTTAACCTTAACCCAACACGCCAAGTTTGAGCGTCAGCACGAACACCCCCTCCCATGAAGGACCGGCCCGTCGACAACCTCATATGAACCATCCATCGGTCAATGATGCTTCCTATTCGTTATCACCCTTCAAACACATCAGCAACGTGATGAACGATAACACACTGAAATCATTGGGAATGCAGTGCAGCCGTGCATGGCTTCAGTGCATGCAGAGAACCATGTCCATCAGCATGCCATTAATGATACACGCCTCGGACGAAGCCGAAGATAGTCGGCATAATTGCAGGCAGAGCGACCAATTGGAGGTGAGGGCGTCTTGGTTGCCAACGACGTGGGCACCAGTGATGGGTTTACTACGCAGAGTGTGAGTGACACCAATTCACGGGTCGGATTGGAGACGGAGACAATCAATGGCTTCAGTTCCTTTGGACTCCATGATCCTGGAGAGGAACAATGAGATTGACGTGTTGGCAAAACGACCTTTGGAATAGTTGTAATGCTATTTCTGGAGGAAACTGGAGCGCGGGGAAACACAAACTCCCCCAAAATTGAGGCTCAAGACAAGGTACGTAAATCAGATGGTGTCGAGGTGACTCTTAAGCTCTTTGACGCTTGGCAGGTTAAGGAGGATATACCCTTGTCCATCAGAATACCCGTCTGACAGTCTCACCCGTGGCATGGGATGGGGGCATCACCATATGCACAATTCTAATTACGTTGGATATTCCGCTTTACGTATTGAAGCTGATGATGAACAGCAATTGAAAGGAAGCTCTGCCTCAGTCTAATATCAGATCATACATCTAGGAATTAACAAGGAGCCCTTCCTCGACTCTATCAACAGCTCTTAAAACAAACACACGCACCGACGGCTTAATACCCGGTTTATCACCATCTCGATACAAGACATGCTTTCCATTATGAGTCAACAACAAACAACCCTGATTGATAACCGCCAATGCGACATGCCGCTCTGAGACGTCTCCACGCCAAGCAGGCTGCCATACGAATATCCTATTCCAGTTCCCCATACCGAATTTAACTAATCGTGAAGTGACTGCAGGTAATATCAACGCATGAGTTGGCATGCATTGCCGAAGCGGATATCAGCCCTATGTGGGTAGGGTAGACAAGTGCCCAGGTAGAGGTGCCAAACGAGGAATGCAATGCGATGGTGGCATGTTCTAACTTGTCTAATAATAAGCCAACACTGATACTACTAATACTTGTAGATACACCTCGACTTCTCCCCAAGTATTGTGCTTGAGCTCAGCAGAAGCTTACGATGGGTTGATGAAACTCAGCAATGTTTTGGAAATCGATTGCTGGAATTTTATCTCTTTTTCCAAAGATCAACTCCCTTCACCAAGGTACTCACGTAGTCTTCAGGTTACTTACCATGATCGATGATCGTTATCTCGTGTAACCATACCACTTAATTCCGGACATCCAATCACGAGATCATTGGCCGTGGCAGATTTATGACAATAATATTCGTAATTCATTAATATAGTAATCTAACCCTAAAGACTGACTCCTGTCAGTCAACTATAATAGCTCTCTTCGAAAGATCCTGTATATAGGCGACTCTCGCCGTCTCTGATAGTATGTCGTGTAGATCGCGACCTTAGCGCAATGTCAGATGCAAGAGTATATATGCAAATGCCAGTAATGGAATCTATAGATGGCCAGTAACCAAGACCGTCATCGAGGCCTTAGCTTGATAAGATGAAAGCGAGGTAGTGTTGTCAACCTTCTTCAGGGCTACACAGCACCCTTGCCTTCAGAATGACATTGCGATATTGCAAATGTCCACCATGCTCATCGCCATGCTTTATCACTCCAGGAAAAGCAACACAACATATCTCCCTCCCGGTCAGAGACTCTTCATCCTCACCACCCAAGTCTTCCATTGTCTCTGACTCAAACATGACCCTTTGATGTGGTAGAACCGTGGGCATGTTCACGCGGAGGACGGCCTTTTGGACAGCGACGAGGCGCGCAAGCTCGATGGAGTTGTTGACAAGAACTCGTAGCCCACTATCTCGAGCCTCCGATGGTGATGTGCCACAAAGGGCGTCGAGAATACGTGTTATTCTGCTTAGGATAGCTTCTGTGACGGACGATGTTGATTCTTTGAGAGACGAGCCATCTCGTCGGAGAAGTGAAAGGGTAGAGGAGCGCCATTGGTTAATGGCTTCATCAGAATCGGCTGCAAAAGTTAGCGGTTGACCTTTGTGAGTGATGAATTACATACCATATGAAGAAATGAGCTTTTCCAGCTGCCGAAACTGTTGTGTTTGCTCTTCTGATAGACCGACAAAGTAGGCGTCAAATACCATCTCGACTAATATCTTTGATACGATAGACTGTAAGAGGTAAACTTTATGCGTCGATGCAAGCTCCTCGTACATAGGCACGATATCATTGACCTCAGCCAATGTTGCTTCATCCAGATTCTCCAGATCTGCCCATGTCAGTACTTCGACCTTGTCCTCAATGAGAAGATCACTTACTTATCTTGGCCTTGCGAAAGTTCACAATAACCCAGTTCTGCAATCCATTGCCTAACCTCGCCATGCCATCACCAAACACCTCATCGCATTCTTGCCCGTCTGTCCTTGTGCTATTACTCACCCACTCTTTCAGACCACGCACTTGTCCTCTTAGACCTCGAATCTCGTCATCTCGCTCCTTGAGTTCTCGTCGTAGAACCTCCCAACCCTCTCGAAGCTCTTCCCGTTCGCCTTCTCGAACTTCAACCTCAGCACGTAGCAGTCGTAATTCGGTATCCGTCCGTAAGTATTGCTGGTTCAAGGCGCTATGCTTCGCTTGCCAAAATGTGGCTGTTTCGCTTTCGTTCTGGCTCAGCTTATCCAATTCGCGATGGAACTCTCGCTCCATGATGCCCATCTCCTTCTCCAGATACGCAATCCTCTCATCCTTCTCTTTCAGCGCAGCCTCGAGTTCCCGTTCCCTCTCTTTCTTCTCCCTCTTTTCTCTCCTTTCTTTGCGCTCCTTATCACGGTCCTTTTCCTTTGTGCTCCCGCTGCCTGTCACTGAGGTCTCCTTCTCTTTGAGCGGGGCACCACCAGTGGTGTCCAGGGTCTCTTCGGGGTTCGCGTTGGCATTGGAGGCCATGGCAGCTCGGGGAGGCATAGCAGGCATGCTGTTTCGATTGTTGCTTGAGGCGCCGGTGCGCAAGGTATGGGCAGGTGAGGTGCCAGGCCCTGGACGGCGCTTTTCAGAAGTGTTCATTGCGGTAACGAGGCGGAGCTTTTGCTACAAGGTAAGATCGGATGTATAGCCCTCCACTGCATGCAAGAGGATCGTCAAGTCGTGGGGTCCGAGGCCAGGCGGTGCTGGTTCCGCATTGTCGCTGGCATCAAGTGCTGTATAGGATCGCAATGCTCGAGGTTTGCGTATGCGTTATGTTGAAGAGATGACGTTTGGTTCCTGTATTTTGATGCCTGGAGGTGAGCGATTGATTAGAATTCTAGGCGGCCGCCCACTGAAGGTGCGCTAATTCGGCTTCTCTCGAACCCAGTATCAGACCCTGGGTCACTGATATGAATTGAGATGAACGGGATGGCTCGAGTTTTGTAATGGCATGGATTAATATGAATTTGAAACATTAATTTACAGCAGACTCTAGGCAGTCAGTGAAAGGAGACTCAATGTTATCTAGGAGCTCCTGTTTACTGCCTTGATCCGATATTGCTAACTAGGTACCTAAGTATGTGGTCTGTTGCCGCTCTGTCAGCCTTTAAGCATCATGATACATGGTTGGTAATCCGTAATCAAGTATCAAAAGGATTCAAGCATCAACCTAATGAAACCTCTGCTCATCTGACTGGTTGTTTCATCGCTCTATCTCTCGCTTCTCTCGTTTATCAGCTGCCTAATGAAAAATCATGTTTAGGCTTCTCAGGCCAAGACCTCCTAAAGCAATATTCGCCTCAAGATGCTCACGCAACCTCCAGGCTTCAGGATTAGAACCCAACCTCAGCCACGACCTCATAAGCTTCATCGTCTGTCCCCTCAATCCTCTTTGCCCCCATTCGACACAACGTAACCTTGTCGAGGGGCATGTCTTCTAGCCAGACATAGTCATCATATGAACTGACAATGTCCCTGGCATCAAGCGTCAACTTCTCTCGTCTTCTCCCGCGACCATCTTTGACATAGATTGTATTGACCACAGTTGCGTGGAGTACCAATGGCCTGTCCTCCTTGGCCATCAATCCAGCTTCCTGGAAGGCCGCCTTGATCTGTTCACAGAACTTCTGCAGAATCCCCTCAGTATCAACGGGTGGCGCATACAGCACTGAAGTCTTTTCGGCGTTCTGAAAAGCATGTAAGCCTTTGAGAGTTATAGAAAGCCCCTCTTCAGTCGATGTCTTTCCAGCCTTAGCACTTGCAAGGTACTCCTTCAACTTCAAACTCTTCAACACCTCACTGGCCTGCTCAACGCCCTCATCCTTGAGGCTCATGACACCAAGTGTCAGATGCATCGTGCCGAGGGGACGCACTGCAGTCGGTGGAACACCAAAGCCAGAAGGATTCGTTACTTCTGTGCGGAAAGCAGCCAAGCTTCTAGCAAGCTGCGGCCCGGCCAGGGGAATGCATACGAAATGCGTCGGAGACGCCTTGACTGGTTTCGGCGGCATGGCTGAATTATCGAATTGGTCTTTCCGGGACAATATCGATTAGTCTCAGTGATAGTGTACAGGTGCAACTGCCAATGGATGATACGTGACAATATGTCTACGGCTTGTCTTGTCCTGGGTGAGGTTAGCAAGTGAAACGACAAGCATATCGTGGAACTCCGCTGGCTGAATTCATGATTCAAAAGTCAAGCATACCCTGCAGTTCTAAAGGTTGCGGAATGACTAACACGCAGTGTGCAACATATCTGACGTTGGTCTGTCACACCTCGATGATGTCAGGTGTTCGTATCAACTGAGTTTGTATCCGTAGATCGCGGTAACCTAAGGTAAGCTGTGTCAAGATTACCCCACCAACGTCAGAGCTCCCAGGGTCAGAGATGCAGGTAATCAGTCACATATCAACTAATCGATAAGTGGTTGTAACAACAATAGACAAAAAGAAGAGTGAAGATAGACCTCGCCGAATAGCAGTCTTTGGCCAGTGTGTCAGAGAACCAAGTAGCGTTACGAGCAAAGTATCTCTTGCTCCAATCCCAAGCAAAGAATTTCGTCAAATCTATCTACAAAGTCTGCTTCTGTTTCTGCTCTCAACAATGCGTGTCAAAAAGGCTGTTCAATTCAAAGAGGGGTGGAAAGACACTCGATGCCATTCCGCACAACCTCGTAACGCCTCCAACATGATTGACATTGACCTGACGGGTCGTCCTCTAAGCCACAAGCCATTTCCAAGGCCTGGGGTATCTGCTTCGATGAACCCGGCCATTTCCTTTTCTGAATGTACCCAACACAACAAGTATTTGTTGAACCGAAAATGCTCCTATCAAGGTTCCGTGACAAGAGCCAAATGGCAAGTCACGCCTGCAAAAGACTGCCTCCATCTGATCGTGAACGCGGCATCTCGTAGGCTTTATGATGATGGGAATAAATGCGTTATTCCCTTGAATCGTAGTACTGCCTCAAGAGTTTCTCGACCTCAGCGTAGTCCGTCTTAACAGCTTCGAAAGCGTCTTTGATGTGCTTTAGACAAACCTCCGAGTCATCTTCAGGAGAGCCATCGAGTTTTTCGTGTTTGCCATAACGCTGAATCTTTTCGCAACCATCCCTGATTTTGATCAGCCCGAGGGTCGCTGATGAGCCCTTGAGGAAATGTCCAAGAGATGAGAGCTTATCAAGATCTTCCTCTTCCCTACGTAATGTCGACACAAGGTCAGAAATTAGCCAGCATTCCCAACCATGTATGCAGCATTTTATGTTCTCAACTCACAATGCCTCCTTTATCTGGTCAAAAGTCTCTTCGGCTTGTTCAAAGAAGCCAAATACAATGGAAGAGCTGAATTCACAATCGCCTGGCTCATCCATCTCAAGAATCTGCTCGAAAGTGGTCATATCGATGTTGTCACCGAAATCGACATCGTCACTCTGGGGTTGGGTTTGTTAGCGACCGTACTCGACTCGCAGTCAGGATCAAGCCCACCTTCTCATCGGTTGGCGACATTTTGGCTGTAGTATTCGTTTATATTCCTTGAACAAACGTATTAGGTAGGTGTGGTGAATCGAGACAAGTGCTGAGAAGCTCCGGGGTCGTAGTAGCGTGGGTCCGCGGAGGAGAACGATCGGAGAGGAGAAATGATAGAGCCTAGGTAGCCTCGGGGTTAGAAACTCTGGCACAAGAGAGATCAAACAAGCGAGCGCGAAACAAATAAAGACAAGGATCCAAAAGCTAGAGCCACTCGGACTTGGACTTGAGCTTGAACAAGGAGAGGAAGGATTTTGAAGGTTGGAGTTGTTACCGCGGGAGCGGAATGGGACAAGATGTGAGTGGCTGGCAAGGGGTCTCAGATCAAGCGAAGCCATGGCGCCCGAGTGACGCTTGGTTTCTGTCAGGGCGGTAGAAGTAGCTGGAGAAGGGTGGCCGTTGCGCTACCGTATTCCAAGGGTTTGCCTGTACCTGAGGTCGATTGGGGGGTGTCCCTTTTTTTGAGTTCGCGGGAGCTGCAGCTATCCTGGGGGTATGACGATATACAAGACAAGGAGCTAGATATCGACACCTTTAGATAGAGGAACAGCAAAAAGAGGGCAGAAACGAGGAGGAAAGAAGAGCACAAGGAAGAGTAGAGAGAGTCAAAGTAAGGGCCTCAGAGATATGGCTTGTGCTTGGTAGAAGACGGCGGTTAACAAGTGTGTGATGTCGGGTGCTGGTATGTGGGCAGTTAACTCATAAGTGAGGGGCTAACGATGGAGAGGGAGGGTCCATTTGCATCACCCATTCATTCATTCAAGGTAGCCGTAGGTACAGTAGTCAAGCCAGGCAAGACAAGGCAAGGTACCTCAGGGCTCAGGTAGCCATATTCAAAGCCATTATCCTCGGACGAGCCATCGCGGGTGGGGTTGAGCCGCTCTAGCAGATGCAGGGCGTCAAAACCGACTGGACTGTGATGTGCTATGGCCAGCCATTCGAGGAGAGCAGAGACGGGACAGTGAATGAGTGGGGGATGGTGTTGTGTTTAGTGCGGAAAAACCACATTTTTTTAGGCGACCGGTCGAATAGGTCAACCAGAGACATTCATGTCCATATTGGGGGAGGGTAAGGAAAAGGAATGGCTGGTGAGAATGAGAGAACATGAGAGAAGCAATTCATAGGTATCGGAAAAAGACAGAATCTGCATATCTTGGCTTCTGGTAGGGAGGAGAGTAGAGATATACGATGCGATCCATGATGCAATATGATTGATGTCGATGTTTCCTTACCTGGGTAGATCTAATCAAAGTGGGACGTACTTTGGTGCAAAGATACTGAAATAAGGGTATTTGTCAAGGGAAGAGATTATCAATCTATTCCAATCTCGAGCCACGCGTGCCCTCGCGTACAGGCAAATATCGACTGAGCGCGTGTGGTTGACACTGACTGTGAATGTGTGAGTGAGCGACTGACCCAGCGACTTGGAGGTGCTGTTCTGCGGGAGATCCCGAAGCGTGCTCCTCTGGTACGACTGACGACAGTGGCTTGATATAGCGTCACAGGTCTGAGGCACGACCAGGGAGTAAATTTCGAGGGTGGAGGGGCATGGGCATGGGCATATACAAAAAGGAGAGAGAAGCCGTTGAGGTTTTTCGTACCCTAAAGGAATAGATGCGAATGGAGATGGCTTAGGTCGATAGGTTAGTAGGTAGGGAGAGGGAGAGGGAGAGAGAAAAAAAGAGGAGAGTTCCAAGGTTTGTAAATGGAATTGGATCCAATCTTTTGGTGGCTGCTGTAGGTGTAGGTAGGCATTTCCTTGAGGTGACTTCGAATGGAAGAAGGGGCCCTGCCGATTACGTCGGTGCTCACTGTTTTGTACAAGAGCCCACCAAAAGAGACAAGAGAAGAGTACAAAAAATCGGGGAGACGACACCAAAATGCACCAGCAGAACCTAGCTGTTGCATCATTTGGTTCCATTCCGTCGAGAAGCACAAGGCCTAGATTCCACAGCTTCCATTGGGGGAGACACCAATCCAGAAGCCGTAAATGATCGTCCATCTCTTACTCTCTCTCGCTATTTTTTCTTTCTTTTTGACGTCTACCAAAAATCATTGGATGTCAGTGCCATCCATGCCCATGCTCATGTGTACGTGCGCTCCCGAGCGATAGCTTAATACCAGAAATGTTCCTCAACATCGCTGACTCTGCACCAGATCGATGTCACCGCTGATTAGGTCCTTAACAGACAATCCCCTCTAACTATTTAGGAAGTTCATCGTCTTTTTCGTTCTGGTTCTCCGGGACTCTCAACCGCGTCCGCCTAGCGTCGAAATAGTCCGCTAATCCATAACGACAACAGACAAACAAGCACCACCAACCGGGATACCAAAAGTACAGTACAGTAAAGTACAGATGCTAGGGGGTATAAAAAAACATGAGAATCGCTTACACCAAAATCCGCCGATCTGCCACCAAACCGATTCTCGTGTTTTTTTATACCCAGGGGAGATGTTACCGTGAGGCGGAACGTTTTCTTCGGCCTGTATCCGGAGTTCTCTTCTTGACAGGCATTGTTTCATGATCCCCTCCTCCAGATGCTGACATACAGATAACGCGCAGTGTACAGCATACACAAGGCTCCAGCGTCTCATGATATCCAGCACACCGGTCATAACCCTGCGCATGGCTAAATACGCAAATCCCCAGCCAGCTGTGGCATATCTCCGGGTCCCGGGAAGTCGTCACCCGGAGCTGAAGCAATTCACTCTCTCGCGTTCCTCCACTTGCTGCTGGCTCTATCACTTGTACGGATAGTGTGTTATGCAGTGGATCACTCAAGTCTCTCGGCCGAGACAAAACACAACAGGACGCCGCTTATGCCTCGTCTCTTGAGCTCACTACTCGATACTATACCTACAAGATACAAACTGCAAGATACTCAGGCACAACGCCCCGAGACAAGACGCAACGTTCACCGAGTCACCGGTCCACACTCTTAACTCTTGGTATTTCTCAGACAGGAGACGATCGGCATCTGGGCCGTAGGGCACGGGAGCTTCTCTCAGTAGATTCCAAGTCTTGGGAACCAAAGCTCCCCAGCACTCACAAGCTTAGAATGACATGCACGCCGTCTTATGCCCGCAGGCCCACCCGGTTGAATTCGACTCGAGAAGTTGGACCCGTTCAATGAAACGAAACCCCACGCTGATTGCACCTTCGATGTTGAAGCTGTTCTTTGTCTCTCACACCAGCCACCACAATCAAGACTTTGGTGCGGCATTTTCTCCGTCGCAGACCAACTGCATCTGTTATGCTGTATACCTGTGGCTTGCGTTGCTCTCGCTTCGACTGATATTGGGTCCTGCAGGGTCCGTTGATCAATCTCATTAAGCACCCCTCACTGACGTTTCCGCCAGGCCCCTCGTGCACGGTTACCCTTGAATGCTTGATGATGGCGGGGTTTGACCACCAGCGGCTGAACAAATCCTTCTTTTACTTGGTTATTCCCTTCTTTGAGATGGCATGATCAAGCTGCTTAAAGTCACGAGTTGTATAAAACTTGGTCTTTTAGACGTTGAACTTGGATTCAAGTCCACTTAACATGCCTTATGGAGGGGCAGCGTGCTTGACAACACAACAACTCCCACTACGACTCAGCATCTTATCAAGCTATCCATGTCTTGAGACTTTGATATTGGGTACCCACCATATTGGACCTCACCGCAAACTGTCACAGAAGAGCTTCTAATGCACGACCGACCCAGATCTGTAGCTGCACATGGCATCGACGAGCGGCATAATCGGCATCTCTTGTTGCACATATCGACATCAGAGTCGAACCACCAATGACCCAATTCCCGGGAAGTTTGTAGCACAGCTAAGCCCTTTACCTCACTCAGACTATCATGCACAAGAGTCATGAACCGCACCTGGAAGGCCTCGACGGGTGACCATCTCGCATTTGACTCAAAGCTGTAAGACCTTTTTATCAATCACACGCGGAACAAGTCTCATTCGAGGCCAGCAATGCACCCTCCTGCGATGTGATAGCTCGTCCACCCCGCAAACCGGTTTTGACTCACTCTTCTCAGCTTGGCCGCACGATTATGGTGGGTATTGCTGTGTCTTATTTTTATGTACTTCTTTTCCTTCTCGCACACTTGGAGGGTCCGACGTAGCAGCCCTAGATGTTCTACAGGGTAGTAAAAATGAAGCAAAAGTGACGTGGCGCTCATTTGCTTCCAAGACGACCCTGAGCGGGTCGTTTTTGCTTGTCAGTTGGCTGATCCTGGCCCCCGCCGGCTGCGGAACGGGAGTGGGGCGGTGAACGGACCCCGCTCCGTACTCCTTGGGCCGGCGCGGAGCTTTGCCGATAAGTGCAAGGGTTGAGTAAGTTACCCTTAGGAAGCAAGAAAACACAAGACCTAAGTTTAGGGTGATAAAATAAACTCTATAAAAGGTATCTTAAACTTATCCTAAGTTTATACTAAGTTACCTAAATCTTGTTATCTGTTAGGCTCAAGGTCCCGCGTTTCATTCCCTCCCTTAGGTTACCTAGAAGCCCTCTCTTTACAATGGTAGCTATGTAAGAATATCACTTGTTCGGAAGTCTGCTGATACTCAGACATTATTCTAGAAGAAGTAGGAGAAAGTAAACTAAAACCAATCATGTTATGAAGCCTGCTTCCATAATGCGAGGCTAAAGCTATGTACGCCAGATATATTATCAACCAACTACGCTCTTAACCCATATACCCTTGTGTTATCCAACCTCTTTACTGCCTATATGAATAAATGATTGGTTTATCGTCTTGTGTTTAGTCGCTTCATTCTAAAACATCACCTTGGACGCCACGCTCAATAACCAGGCTGCATCTCTCCAGCCGCCTTCGTCGGTTCCTGGGGGTGGAATACGCTCTTCTGGGGCTGTCGATATGCCTGCCAGATGGCGGGAGGACCAACTACGGGAGCGGCCGAGTTGAGAATCTCCTTCCTGAGGAGTCTCGTCACTATCATCTTCCGAATCCTCATCGTCTTCCTCTACGGAGAAGAGGGACCAGACGTTGCCGAACCAAGTCCCTGTGTTAGCTTGGCCCTTGCGCACGAGGCGTCGCACAGTGGCTTCGTCATCTTGGGACAAGTCTTGCTCAAGCTCCTCGAGCTTCTCGTCGAGGTTGACAAAGTCCGGACCAGGTAGATCATTGTTGACTTCCTGATTGGGAAAGTAGGACCCATCAGCAGTCATTGAGAATTCCAGAGGTGAGTGGAGGAGACTCCTGGGTCGCGTCAAGCTGTGAGAGCGACTGTGAGTGCGGCTAGGGAAGCGACTGGCATATGGGGATGCGTCCTCAGCAGTGCTGCCGCGGCGACTAGCATGGCGGCTCGTAAGCTCACGCTCGCGAGCAAGTTCACTCTCGAAAGCATCCTCATCGGGATCCATTCCTCCTAGGCTGGTAGAACTCTGACGCGAGATAAGCCAAGTCTGGCCCTTAGACTCGCGAGCTTCGGAGCTCATGAGCGCGCCTGTCCTGAGCAGCCAATCGCTATCATTGCGATTACGCATGCTAAAGCTCATATCATCTTTGTGGCGTCTGGGCGTTGCGCGACCAGAATGAGTCTTGCGTGATGCGCCAGCCGCGAGATGAGACGCGGATTTGCTTTTGGCGAGAGGTGTTGAGGGGGTTCGGGTATGGGATCTCGAGCGCGATGCCGTTGGGGATCGAGCGAGAAGACGGGGTGTTGAAGGAGCAGACTTTCCCTGGATATAGGAGGGAATTGGATGGATAGGCGAGTGAGGGTGGGATGCGATAGCGTCGGCAATGAGTTCGTCGTCGTTGAGGGGGAGTTTGGCGGTCAAGGGCGCGAGGGAGAGATGGTTGAGGTTGGACGAGGAGCGATTCTTGCGACGAGATCGGTCGGCGTGTTGATTGTATGCAACGTCCATGATGGCGATGGTATCGCTATCACTGTAGATGAATGTGTTGGTGGTAATTCGAATAAACAATGGCTACTACGGCAAGTAGTAGCGTGTATTAGCACGATACGACACGTAGGTGGTTGAATGATAAGGTAGGTAGTAGTTGATGAGAGCAAATGCGGAGAGAAGTCAATGGTTCCTCAACCGGTAGCGGGCGATCGGCATGTGATGGATGACGAGAGCTACTATAACTGGAGTATGGAACTGGGAACAGTAACAAAAAAAGATGGGAAATAGAGCAAGTTTAATAAGAGAAAGAGAAGAATCAATGTGGCCATTCAAATTACCAAGATAATAAGGTGATCAACTCTTCAATCGCCGAGGCCCGGAATAGTTACGAAAATCTAGGTTGGTCGCTATTGCCTGTGAAGAGCTGATCTAGACGGAAAAGAGAAGAAGTGATGCAACCTAAAAAGCTCTTTCCCCAGGCCCTTAATCAGAACTTTCAGAGATGGCGAGTACATGATCTTGGAGTCACAGCATGTATCTTTCCCGCCCCATCATCCCGCAGCAGTACTTTGCCCACCACCTTCGTCAGGTACCGCAAAAAATCTCGATTACGGGCATCGACACCAAATCTAGCAAATCCATCGCCGCTGATTGCCCATTTCATCCACACCAAGAAAACATCACCACTTGCACGCTCGGCCTTGTCCGACAGACCAGAACAGGTCGAACGACAGCTGCATACAGGCCTATAGTCTGCCCATTCTGTACCGCTTCAGTTACATCGACAGTTGCTGTGTGCTGTTGGTGAAGATCATCATCAGACTACTAGAGCTTGGCCATCTTTGGTTGTGAGGCGAGAAATAGTCAAGATGCGCAATCTTCGCAACATTCGATTCGGACAGTGCCAGCGCGATAATGTCACAGCTGCGTGTTGGGATCCTGAGAAGGATCAGGTTCTTGTCGTAGCACAACCTTCTGTGGACAGCTGTGAGATTGAGTTGTTGAGAATCTCTGGAGATCGAGACATGTAAGTACATCGTCCATAGAATAATTTACACAAAATAGTCGCTGACTCCATATAGCTCAGTCAGTACTGTAGCCAGCTGGGAGGCTCCAAACCCATCACCAGACCTCGTCGTCGACAAGGTCGTCAGTTTGCAGTATCTAAGTGGCTCAGCAACTACATGTCTCGTCTTTGAAGGAGGCGATATCGTTACAGTCCGAGAAGACGATTTCTCAGAGGAAGGTGCTCACATTGAGATTGTTGGTTCTATAGATGTTGGTATTGCTGCTGCGCGATGGTCCCCCGATGAGGAACTCCTCATTGTCGTCACAAAGGAGAACAATGTCATATTCATGGGTTCAACCTTTGACCCAGTTGCTGAGATCCCCATGACAGTCGAGGACCTCAATGCATCGAAGCACGTATCCGTCGGATGGGGCAAGAAGGAGACCCAGTTTCAAGGTCGAGGTGCAAAGGCCATGCGTGATCCTACTATCCCCGAAAAGGTAGATGAAGGTTTACCCAGTCCTCACGAGGATGGTGCAACCACCATTAGCTGGAGAGGCGATGGTGCTTATGTGGCCATCAACTCAGTCCAAGAAGGCTCCCGCCGTGTAATTCGAGTTTACTCACGAGAAGGAGAGCTGGACAGTGCAAGTGAGCCAGTTGATGGCCTCGAGAGTTCTCTGAGCTGGCGACCATCCGGAAACCTAATGGCTGGTATTCAGCGAAAGTCAAACCAGATCGATGTGGTCTTTTTTGAGAGGAACGGTTTGCGGCACGGCGAGTTCACCCTTCATTCTCCTTCTGGGCCAGCTGAGGCTCATGAGAGAATACGTCTTGAGTGGAACTCAGACTCGACTGTCCTCGCGGTGATTTTCAAGGATATGGTTCAGCTATGGACTATGGGCAACTACCACTGGTACCTCAAACAAGAGATTCCTATCGAGGCTAGCTCGACATGTTTGTCATGGCATCCCGAGAAGGCTTTGCGCTTTGCCACTACTTCAACAAATACTGTCGTTGTGACAGAGCACATCTTCCATACAGCAAGGGGATCGTGTCATCCGCCACACGACAATGGTGCCGTTGCGGTAATTGACGGCGAAACAGTAAAGTTGACCCCTTTCCGAACAGCCAATGTACCACCCCCTATGTCAATGTTCGATATCACGGTTCCTGCGGCGGCAGTCGACGTTGCATTTGGACGTGACAACATGTCCTTTGCGGTTCTTCACCGAGAGGGTATCGATGTTTATGAGTGGCCCGTTAAGAACGGTAGATGCATCAAGCCGAAGCTCTCCAAGAAGGTATTATTTGATGAGATGGCAAGCCCTGGTTACAATGTTCTTTTGCGAATCGCCGCTGTAGCTGATGCTTTTCATTACTTCGGTTACGAGGAGGAGAAGGGCTTTGTTCAGCGACTCGTACAGGCTGCGGGCGAAGGCGAAACATCTCTCGTAGATGTCGACTCTCGGGAGGTTCTCGTCGCCACAGCCAGTTATCAAGACGATCATTCGTTTACTGGGTATGGCCAGGACAACTTGGGAAAGCTATTCCGGATCAGCGAGTCTGGAAATGAGATGCTGCCTGTGCAATTCCAAACACACCTGCCTTGGTTTGAGATTAGCAAGGTTGATGATGAGATTGTTGCCTTTGGCCTCTCCAGGAACGGCCATATTTATGCCAATTCTCGTCTCCTGGCAAAGAACTGTACTTCATTCATCGTCACACCCAGCCATCTTATCTTCACTACCAATAACCACTTGGTCAAGTTTGTTCACTTGTCCGCCAACGTCGATGGTAAGTCACTCTCTTGTCTGTCGTGACTACCAACTAATGCCCCCATTAGATCTTGAAGTCCCTGCAGATGACCCCGAGACCGACGAACGCTGCCGCAGTGTGGAGCGTGGATCTCGACTTGTCACAGCTATTCCCGCCAACATGAGCATTGTTTTGCAGATGCCGCGTGGAAACCTGGAGACTGTCTTCCCTCGAGCCATGGTCGTGGCAGGTATCCGTAGCCTGATTGATGAGAAGAACTACGCTCGAGCATTCTCATACTGTCGTAGTCAGCGTGTAGATATGAACATTCTCTACGACCATCAGCCCGAGCAATTCTTGGCCAATGTTAGCCTTTTCCTCGACCAGATCCCTGACGTCGCTCATATCGACCTCTTCCTTTCTTCTCTCCGGTATGCTTTCTTGTTTCAAACTCTCAGGGCCATCACTAACCTAGACCAGTGCCGAAGATGTTACTCAGACCATGTATCAAGATACTAAGCGATCTACCAACTTTGGAGCTGATGCGATTTCCTCCGACTTGTCATCGCCCGCACCACGGGGTTCTGCTGCAAAGATCAACACGGTTTGCGATGCTCTTCTCGAAGCCCTCCAGAGTCGCAAGGCTACCAACCTTCAAAATACCATTACCGCCCACGTTTGCAAATCTCCACCTGCACTCGACGACGGCCTTCTTTTAGTCGCTGAGCTGATGCGTGAGGATGAGAAGATTGCTGAAAAGGCAGTCGAGCATATCTGCTTCCTAGTCGACGTCAATCGACTATATGAGAATGCCCTTGGGCTCTATAATCTTGATCTGGCCCTTCTTGTCGCTCAGCAATCCCAGCGCGACCCTCGCGAGTACCTCCCCTTCATTCAGAACCTGCACTCTCTCCCCGAACTGAGACGTCACTTCGAGATTGATGATCATCTTGAGCGTCGTGTCAAAGCCCTTGGCCATCTCCAAACAATGGATGTATTTGATGAACTCCTTGCTTATACCACCAAACATTCCCTATACCACGACGCTCTTCGTCTATACCGCTACGACCCTCCTCGCCTTCGAGAGCTCACGGCCGCTTACGCTGCCTATCTCGAGTCCACATCAGCCTATCGAGAAGCCGGCCTCGCGTACGAGTCACTCGAGAATTGGGCTAAGGCAACGAGTTGCTACCGAACCGCCGGCGCAACGTGTTGGCAAGAGTGTCTTTACACTGCAGCTCAGCAGCAACCTCCCATGTCCCCTGAGGCTATGTCCGACCTCGCCAACAATCTTGCAGATGCTCTCTGGGAAGCAAAGGACTACTCTGCTGCTGCTACCATCCACCTCGAATATCTTGACTCTATTGACATGGCTGTTCGTTGCCTGTGCAAGGGCTATCACTTTGCAGATGCCATTCGTCTCGTTGTTCAACGCAAACGCCCTGACCTCCTTACTGCCAGTGTCGATACTGGCCTTGCCGATGCGCTAGGCACGACGACCGAATTCCTGGCTGACTGCAAGGCCCAGCTCAAGGCTCAGGTTCCTCGTGTTGCCGAGCTTCGCCGTAAGGCCATTGAAGACCCTCTGGCTTTCTACGAAGGAGATCGTGCTGGTGGTATGGACATCCCTGACGATGTCTCTGTCGCCGCCTCTTCCCGAGTCAGCACCAGTGCATCGCTCTTTACACGATATACAGGCAAGGCTGGGAGTGTTGGAACCGCTGGGACGGGAGTCAGTCGCGCCACAAGCAAGAACCGTAAGCGTGAGGAGAAGAAGCGTGCTCGTGGACGAAAGGGAACAGTCTACGAGGAAGAGTACCTTGTCAACAGTATTCGTCGTCTTATCGACCGCGTCAGTGCTGCTGCTCCAGATGCCGAGCGCCTCATCTTCGCGCTTGTGCGGAGGAACATGCCCGAGCGGGCGCGTGCTGCCGAAGCTCTCATGGCTGAGGTATCAGAGGCTTGCACTGCTGCGGTAGCTGAGGTGTTCAAGGTGCCAGAGGCCGAGCAGAAGAATGATGCTGAGCCAACCTGGCAGGCTACAGGAGGCGAAGCTGTATTGCAGGACTTTGTGATGGGGCAGGGCAAGAAGTTGGAGCCCCCGATTGTTAAGGGGGTTAAGAAGCTTACGCTTTTAGGGTCATGATAAAGATTTATGTCAAAAGTTGTGTTTAAACGATCAAATACAATCAAGAAGTAAAATATGTGCCTGCTCTCATGGCAGTTCCATAAGTGCCCCTTGCCCTACCCA